ACTATCTGTCTCCTCCTTGTCAACAACACCAAATGTAATAGGGAAGATGTTGTTGTTGCCATCCCTCCCTGTTGCTGCCAGGATTTGCTGCCCAGTGCTTAGTTTGATGAAGCATCCATCAAGACCTGCATTTTAAGCCATTAGTAAGCAGCAACTGTTATGCAATCCCTATTTAAGCACTATACAGACTATATTTACCTATGAAAGGCCTGCAACCATTTAGGAACCCCTCCTTACAAGCAAACACACAGTAAAACATGTAATGAAACCTTGGCGTAGGTGTTGGGTTGAGTTCAAATTCCTTTGTTGTCACAACAGACCTACTACTAGGGTTTGTGTCCAAAACACACTGCAGATAGTCTCTTAACCTGTAGTATTGTGTCTTGTGATCCCCTTGCACAACATCAACTGTTTTCCTCCTTGCCCTGTAGGCCAAACATTTTGGAACATGTACTCCAAATTTCTTTTTTGTATAACTCAATATAGTATCAACACCTGCACCAGGATTGGATCTTACAGTATCCTCAACAGCCTTTGCAACCCACTTCATGGTAACCTTTGTGTTCTCTCCACTTGCTCCACAGGTGTGATTGATACGTCTCCAACGTATCTATAATTTTTTGTTTGTTCCATGCTATTATATTACCCGTTTTGGATGTTTATGGGCTTTACTTTACATTTTTATATCACTTTTGGGACTAACCTACTAACCGGAGGCCCAGCCCGAATTACTGTTTTTTTGCCTATTTCCGTGTTTCGAAGAAAAGGATATCAAACGGAGTCCAAACGGAATGAAACCTTCGGGAGCGATCTTTTTCGAACAAACATGATCCAGAGGACTTGGAGTGGAAGTCAAGAAACAAGCGAGGCGGCCACGAGGGTTCCCGGCGCGGCCCCTACAGGTGCCCCCCCCACCCTCGTGGGCCCCTCGAGCGTCCACCGACCTACTTCTTCCTCCTACATATACCCATGTACCCCGAAAACATCAGAAGCGACCACGAAAAACTATTTCCACCGCCGTAACCTTCTATATCCGTGAGATCCCATCTTGGAGCCTTCGTCGGCGCTCCGCTGGAGGGGGAATCGATCACGGAGGGCCTCTACATCATCTCCAAGGCCTCTCCGATGAGTTGTGAGTAGTTTACCATAGACCTTCGGGTCCATAGTTATTAGCTAGATGGCTTCTTCTTTCTCTTTGAATCTCAATACAAAGTTCTCCTTGATCTTCTTGGAGATCTATTCGATGTAACTCTTTTTGCGGTGTGTTTGTCGAGATCCGATGAATTGTGGGTTTATGATCAAGTTTATCTATGTGAAATATTTGAACTCCTCTGAATTCTTTTATGTATGATTAAGTTATCTTTGCAAGTCTCTTCGAATTATCAGTTTGGTTTGGCTTACTAGATTGATCTTTCTTGCAATGGGAGAAGTGCTTAGCTTTGGGTTCAATCTTGCAGTGTCATTTCCCAGTGACAGCAGGGGCAACAAGGCACGTATTGTATTGTTGCCATCGAGGATAAAAAGATGGGGTTTATATCATATTGCATGAGTTTATCCCTCTACATCATGTCATCTTTCTTAATGTGTTACTCTGTTCTTTATGAACTTAATACTCTAGATGCCTGCTGGATAGCGGTCGATGTGTGGAGTAATAGTAGTAGATGCAGGCAGGAGTCGGTCTACTTGTCACAGATGTGATGCCTATATACATGATCATGCCTAGATAATCTCATAAGCATTCGCTTTTCTGTCAATTGCTCGACAGTAATTTGTTCACCCATCGTAATACTTATGCTATCTTGAGAGAAGCCACTAGTGAAACCTATGGCCCCCGGGTCTATCTCTTATCATATAAGCTTTCAATCTACTTTTATTTGCATCTTTACTTTTCCAATCTATATTATAAAATACCAAAAATATATTTATCTTATCATATTATCTCTATCAGATCTCACTTTCGCAAGTGGCCGTGAAGGAATTGACAACCCCTTTATTGCGTTGGTTGCGAGTTCTTGTTTGTTTGTGTAGGTGCGTGGGACTTGTGAGGAGCCTCCTACTGGATTGATACCTTGGTTCTCAAAACTGAGGGAAATACTTACGCTACTATTACTGCATCACCCTTTCCTCTTCAAGGAAAACCAACACAAGCTCAAGACGTACCAAGAAGGATTTCTGGCGCCGTTGCCGGGGAGGTCTTCGCTCAAGTCAAGACATACCCAGTACCCATCACAAACTCATCTCCCTCGCATTACATTATTTGCCATTTGCCTCTCGTTTTCCTTTCCCCCACTTCACCCTTGCCATTTTATTCGCCATCTCTTTCCCAATCTCCTCTCTTTCGCTTGTCTTCTTGTGTGCCTGTTTGCCCTTATGGCTTTGCCTAAGAACACCGACCTTCATCTTAGAAGGTTGGAAGAGATTGAATCAAACATTAGAAGTTTTATGACTTTGCAATTTGAGCATAATATTTTTTTTAGAAAGGAGCTTAAAGAACAAAAAAGTTTTATGGGGTATATGAACAAAGAGCTTGATGATATATCTAAAGAATTTCATGGTTTGAACTCTCAAATTACTCGTCTTAAAAAATCTATAGCCCAAATTTCTGATAAGCAAGCCACCTTAGTCTATAAGATGGCTGCCAAACCAGAAAAGTTAGAAGAAAATAATGATGAATATCTAAAAGTTATTGATGTGTCCCCTATTAAATATTTGTTTTGCAATATGAATCTTAATAATGATGGGACTGGAGATGAGTCAACTTTAGTTAAAAGGCGTCCCAATGATTCAGAGTTCTTAGATCTTGATGGTAAATTTGGTAAAAGTGGGATTGGAGAGGTCAAGACTTTAAATAGCATTGAACCCACTTTCTTGGATTTCAAGGAATTTAATTATGATAATTGTTCTTTAGTAGATTGCATTTCCTTGTTGCAATCCGTGTTGAATTCTCCTCATGCTTATAGTCAAAATAAAGCCTTTACCAAATATATTGTTGCTGCCTTGATGCAATCTTATGATGAAAAACTTAATTTGGAAGTTTCTATACCTAGAAAACTTAATGATGAGTGGGAACCTACTATAAAAATTAAAATTAAAGATCATGAGTGTTATGCTTTGTGTGATTTGGGTGCTAGTGTTTTCACGATTCCGAAAACTTTATGTGATATTCCAGGTTTCCATGATCTTGATGATTGCTCTTTAAATTTGCACCTTGCGGATTCCACCATTAAAAAGCCTATGGGAAGGATCAATGATGTTTTTTGTTGTTGAAAATAGGAACTATGTGCCCGTAGATTTTTATCGTTCTTGACATAGATTGCAATCTTTCATGTCCTATTATTATTGGTAGACCTTTCCTTAGAACGATTGGTGCGATTATTGATATGAAGGAAGGGAATATTAGATTCCAATTTCCATTAAGGAAAGGCATGGATCACTTTCCAAGAAAGAAAGTTAAATTACCTTATGAATCTATCATGCAAGCAATTTATGAATCAAGTGGCAAAGATGACACCACCTAGATCTATCCTCGCTTTTATGCCTAGCTAGGGGCGTTAAACGATAGCGCTAGTTGGGAGGCAACCCAATTTTATTTTTGTTTTTTGCTTCTGTTTACTAATAAATTTTGCATCTACCTTCTGTTTAGATGTGTTTTCATGTTTTAATTACTGTTTGTGCCAAGTAGAACCTATAGAATAACCTATGATAATAGTTAATTTGATTCTGCTGAAAAATAGAAACTTTGCGCACACAAACATAATTTTAGTAATTCACAGAAACGTGCTTTTGCGTTGATTCTCCGGCAATGATCCGAGAGGCACGTTCCTCTTCGTCGAACAGTCCCCTATGTTCTCCGGCAACTCGATGGGGGAGAACTCCATGGTGACCACGTCAAGAGCACGCACGGTGGCCCTATCTTTCATTCCCCAGTATATAGAGCCGTTGGCGCGCCACACCATTTGGCTGTAGCCAATGCCGGTGGCTGTGGTGCGCATGCGTCAGCCACCATGGCTGCCCGAGGAGAAGAGGCAGACTAGGTTCTCGTTGACGACTGCGAGGACCCTGAAGTTGGACAAGGTCATGCGACAGGTGGTGTCGGTAGGCGTGAAGAAAAGATTCCAGACTTGACGGCCAATGGACCCCCTGGTGGCGCCGCGTGAGTGGATCGCAGACAAGGAGGTCAAAGTAGCAGGACGAGGTGTTGCCCCGGTAGGTGGTCCTCACGAGGAGGAGAAGGCCACTGCGGCTGTCAAAGACCTTCGAGCAGTATCCTCCGGGGAGGAGGTCGAGGGTGAAGTGGCGGCCGTCGCTAGCGGAGGCCGGCGAGGAGGGGACGAAGACGGGGGCGTTCGACCTCAGCCCCGAAGCTGACATTGTACCCGTCCCAGTGGTAGTCGCCCACGCGCGTCGCGTGTGGGTGGGCCGATCGGAGCCACGTGAGGAATCCAACGTCGGCGACGACGCGGCACCAGCGCCTGCACACGGCGGCGGCGCGGACGAGCGACGGGGAAGGGCCGAGGCCGCGAGGCGGAGCAGGACGCTCTAGAAGATGTGGGCTGGGAGGTCGATCGTGCACGGTCGTCGCAGCCCCGGCCTCTTTCCACGTCTGCTAGGAGCTGTTCATTCGCCGGCGACGTCCCTCCGCCGTGGTCGCCATCGCGCGGCGCGAGATCTATCTTCGACGTTCGTCGGGTCAGGTAAGAGTAAGACGCACCCGCGCGGCGCGGTTGGTGGCTTGGTTAAACGAAACTGGCCGGTGCGTGCGGGTTTGGCGCGGTCGATCCGAAGTTTGCGCGCCCACCAAGTTGTTGTGATAATGTGATATCTGCTTCCTTTTACGTACCGGATCAAGTTTTATTTTCCATCTATATCTACAGTTCTACACCTATTTGGTGTATAGCCCGAGCTGTTTCTATTTTTAGATCCGTGTGATCACGAAGCGACTTGGAGGGCGGGGCACGTACGCCTGCACGCACACGTACCGCTTTTAACGCAGGGGCAAGATGAGACCGAGCCCGGCCGGCCGCGAGAGAGATCTCACGTATCGACACGTAATGGCGACGGCGGCGGAGGGACGTCTCCGGCGAAGGAACAAGTCCAAGAAGAAAAGGGAAGAGGCCAGGGAGACGACCGTGCTCGACCTCCCCGACCACCTCTTCGAGCGCGTCCTCCTCGTCCTCGGCCCTTCCCCATCCCTCGTCCGCGCCGCGGCAACGTGCAGGCGGTGGTGCCGCGTCGTCGCGGACGCCGGCTTCCTCGCGCGTCTGAGTTCGGTCCACGGGCTCACGATACATGCTGGGGACTACTGCCTCGAATTCGGAGACACACCCAATTACTTCGGCTTCGTCCCCTACTCGTCGGTTGTGCCTCCCGGACGCTTCTCCCTGGACTTCCTTCCGGGCACAGAGCACTCCTGGGCGCTCAAAGATAGCCGCGGCAGCCTCCTCCTCCTCTCCAGTGGGATGAGCCGGGACCGGGGCTGTGCCCGTGGCTCCTTTGGTTATGACCTCCAGCTCGTCGTGTGTGAGCCGCTCACACGGCGCTACCAGGGGATCCTTTGGCCTTCGGACGTGGCTGACTATTATCAAGAAGTACACCTAATCGACATCGAGGACGAGGCCGGAAATCGCCGAGGCAACATGTCCAACTTCAGGATCCTAGCCAAGGTCAACGATAATCTGGCCTGCGTGTTCTCCTCCGGCAGTGATGGCGGCTGGCGTCTAAAGCGCACCCAGGCCACCAGCACCGGTACAAAACCATGGTTGGATAATTTGGTGGGGCGTGTCAACGGATTTATGTACTGGGGAATCCAAGGAAGCGCCGCCGTACTTGCCCTTGAGGAGGCTACTCTGGAATACTCCCTTGTCAAGTTCCCGGAGAACATATGGGGGTTGTACAATGAAGATGACCGTACCTCTTGGGTCGTCGCCGGTGAGGACGGTGTCTTGTGCATCGTCTGTCTGATGAGCAACCAGCTCAAGGTCTTTGCACGATGGCGCCATGAAGGAACTGGAGAAGACGAGTGGGTGCTGGAAAAGACCCTGGGGCTGCAGGAGGCGACTGTCGGGTTACCAGGTCGTGAGGAAGGATTTTTTGAGCAAGGCGCCACCATTCTCACGGCAAATTCCAGATACGTTCTAGTGAGACCAAAGGAGAAGAAGTGGATGTTCTCCATCGAGCTTGACACAATGAGGGTAGAATGCGAGCACGATAGAAACAACTATGAAGGGCCAGCGTACCCGTACGAGTTGCCATGGCCGCCGGTATTGCCCGATGATCGTGGCAGGGAGAGGAGGTGATAGGTAATCGCCTGTGTATTGTAGTATTTCAGAAGATTCAAATATATTCTGTTTATTTGCTAGCTTAATGTCAATATCAGTTGACTCAAGACTACAAGGAGATATATCATCATAAATCTTGGCATAAAGATTGTAAGGAATGATATTAATGGGTGAACCAGGATCGCACAAACAAAGATACAGTACGTCTTACCAAAAGAACATGACAAAACTTGTTTACTTGCATTCCTACCGTCCGTGCGTCCATTCAGGTATTGTAAGTTGTACTCCCTCCGTCCTAAAATAAGTGTCTCAACTTTATACTAAAGGCCTGTTCAGAGGCCCTCTGCTCCTCGATTCCGCTCGCGGAGCGGCCGGAACCGTAGTTGAAAATTACGGAGCGGACGAATTGGTATTCCGCAGATCTTTCTATTTTGCGGAGCTGGTCGAGTTCCGAACGGGCTCTAACTCTAGTACAAAGTTGTACTAAGGTTAAGACATTTATTTTGGGACGGAGGGAGTACATCATTATTTATCACTGCTATCGGTTTAGCAAGTAATTTAATTGGGTGTGTCTAGGACACATCTAGATGTGCTTTAGTTATTGCACATCTAAGTAAGTGAATCAAGCATAAGGAGAAAAAGAAAAAAGAGAAAGAAAATATTCACACGAATCTCAATGTAAGATTAATGATATATGACTTAGATGTGCAATAACTGAAAATGTAGCAACACGCCATCAAAGAAACACAGGATAATTTGTGAGATAACTGCTGCAAGTTGTTTTAGGTTAACCCCAAAGCAGATGGTATTAGTTGCGGTAGGCCGTTTCCTCGCTGCGAGGATGTTACGTGATGTTTTGGTGCTAGACAAGCAAGGGCAATTTTTTGCAATGAACACCCTAAAGCATTTGTTTCCTTACAAACAATGACACTTTTTTACAAGCAACACCCTAAAGCTTTTGTTTTCTTACAAATAAGGACAAATTTTCGACAAGTCGTGGGAATTTTCGCTAGAAATTTCGGCAAGCATAACACATCCACAAAGGTACTGGATGGGTGAAAAGAATTTTTGCAAGAAAAGGTGGATTAATACATGGGTTAATTATCCTTTTGCCCTCAGTGGTGTCCATGTGCTCAGTTTTGCCCTCAGATGCAAATTGTCCTCAGTTTTGCCCCTAGTCCGAGCACAGCAACTACGACGAGGCCAAACGGCCATATTTGAGTCCATTCTGTCCGCCGGCGTTAGTAGTTGTGGGTCCGGAGCTTACACGTGGGACCGCGTGGACGTGGGTCCGGAGCTGACATGTAGGCCCCTACAACTAAATCCCCAAATCATTCTAGCTCACACCCATCCGCCCGGCCGGCTGTCCTGCGCAGCCGCCGCCGCCACCTGCGCCGCGGCCAGCACCTGCCCCGCCACCAGTTGCACGGCCTGCTCCGCCGCTACCTCCCTGCGCCTACGCTCCACGGCTCATTGTGACGCCCACCACCTTCCTGCGACGCCACGGGTGGGGCGCTCGCCACCTGCTCGATTCGCGGCGCGGCCTCCTTCCGTGCGCCCGGCCGGAGCGCTCAAAGGTGGGGGGCTGCTGGAGCTATTTGAACTAGGAGGAAGAACCCTAGGGAGAAATGGTGAGCAGCGGCGACCCCGGAGTATTTGGCGAGGCAGGCATCGGGCCGGAGATCCGCCGCGTCCACGACTGGGTTCCCGAGGGGTAAGTCTCGCCTCTTGTTTAGATTGAGCTTAATTGTGCATTTGAACACTCGATTCGAGTAGGTTTGCCCAATTAGTGTGCTTATTGCGTCTCTGTTTTTCGCCGGTTAGGATGGAGTTGCGGTTTGCTTTCATGGTGCACATTAGAAGGGACCGATACATGTTCGATGCAAAGGATAAGAAGAAATACCAAGGAGGTTTTGATTATCGGTTGCCAATGGCTAGTAATTGGAGTTTCAGACAATTTGGGAAGGTAATTTGTAGCCAATATCCTTGGGGTTTGCTTGATGAAGTGGTATACAAATACTATGATGGGGAAAAGAATTGGGTGACAGTTAGTAATGATGAAGAGCTAGCTACCATGTTTGTTAGGCATAAAGAGAAAGATAATTTTCATGTGAGGCTGCAAGTTGATGTGCTTGAGCAGGCATTTGGACCTAGGATGGCGGGTGCAACATCTCGGGGAGAATCAAGTCGTCGTAATGGCATCTCTAGCCAGAACAGTTCAGTTGGTGCACGGCGACATGGTGGCTCGACATTCAGGGGAGTGACAAAGACCAAGGAATGCTTTAGAAGGGTTTTTGTCTGCTTTGAGGCTTGTCGCCGGGGTTTTTTGGCAGGCTGCAGGCCTTATTTGGCTATTGATGCCACTTTTCTCACAGGAAGGTTTAAAGGACAGTTAGTAGCAGCTTGTGCAGTTGATGCACATAGTTTTGTATTTCCAGTTGCCTATGGTGTGCTGGAGACAGAGTCTGAGGAGAGCTGGACTTGGTTTTTGCATAATCTCCGCCGGGCTATTGCACATCCCAATGGGTTGGTCATTCATACAGATGCCTGCAAAGGTTTAGAAGTGGCCGTGGACAATGTGTTCCCTGGAGTAGAGCATAGGGAATGCATGCGTCACCTTGCTGCAAATTTCATGAAGAAATTCAAAGGAAAGGTGTATACCGACAATTTATGGCCAGCATCTTTGACATGCAGTGTGAAGAAGCACAACTACCACTTGAGGCAGTTATACATGAATCCCAAAGTGAAAGAATACTTGGAAACACACCACTCCAAGTTATGGGCCAGAAGCCAATTCAGTGAAGTGAGCAAAGTTGACTATGTGCACAATAATCTAGCAGAGTCTTTCAACTCAATGATCCGGAAACTAAAGGGTCATTATGTGGTGGATTTGCTTGACAGGATAAGGATAGAATACATGCAGAAATTTCATTATCGTGCAGGAATAGCCGAGGCAAAATTCATGGGCCACATTATCATCCCTGCCGTGATGAATGAACTGAAGCAGAAGACAATAGGCTTGAAAATGAACATGACGCTTTGCTCGGGTACCACAGCAGAGATATCATATTTGGATAAAGAGAAGAGGAAATGGAGATATCCAGTGGATTTAGAAGCTAGAACTTGCAGTTGTAGGCAATGGCAGATAACTGGGTTGCCATGCATTCATGCCTTGTTTTTCATCACTTCTCTTCCAGGTCCAGCAGGGAACATACAGCAGTATGTGCATGATTACTACTCTGTTGCAAGGTTCAAAGCCACATATGCTTATGCCTTGCCTGCTATGGAGGGAAAACAACAATGGGACATGGTGGACCCTGGATTCAAGCTTTGCGCTCCAGTTCTGAAGAGAGCAGCAGGTAGACCAAGGAAGAGTCGAATAAGACCTCGCAGCGAAGGAGCTGGACTTGGAGCGAGGAAGCGTAAGTGCACAAGATGTGGTGGGTCTGGTCATTTCGGTAAGTATTGTGATAACACAGTAGATCCAGCGTTCGGAGAGAGTTTCGATGAAGGCTTCAATGAAAATGTTGGTCAGCAGCCGGTTGCCTCAACAGATGATGAAAATGTTGGTCAACAGCCGGTTGCCTCAACAGATGATGAAAATGATGGTCAACAGCCGGTTGCATCAGATGAGGATTTTGACGAGGTTCCAAATGATGATGGTCAACAGCCGCATGATTTTGACGATGATCCAAAATATCCTCCAAATAATGATTCAAGTGAGGCTCCAAATGGTGATCCAAGTGAGGCTCTAAATGGTGATCATGGTGATCCAAGTGAGGCTCCAAATGATGATCCAAGTGAGGCTCCAAATGGTGACCAACCTTCTGTTGTTGTGAGTTCTGCTAGGTATGTAAATCTTGCAAGGGTCAAATACTATTGTACATCTATCACTTCACACGATCTCATTACCGTTTATGTTTGGACCCTTTATGTTTTGCACAGCTCTATGGTAGGTTTGAAGAAGACGCGCAAGGTACCGACAACCAAGAGAAGAAGAGAAGAAACAATGAGCACAAGGTGCACGAGGAGCAAAGTGATGGCAAGAAGCTCAAGGAACAGACAGAAGCCCCAACGCTATCTATGAACAATTATGAAACATTATGAATAAGGAATGATGTTGTATTATGAAACATTTATCACTTGACATGTTGTATTTCTGTTGGATGATGTTGGACCTATGTTAGAAGTATGTTTGACATGATGTTTAAATATCTGTTGGATGATGTTTGAATGAGCACATGGTTTTTCCTTTTTTTGATTTTTTTGAATTTTGTTTTGCTCATTTAAATTCTGGTCAAACCTAACTTTGACCAAGATTTAAGCAAGTCTAAAACATCAAAATGAAAAACTAAGCCTGGATACTTCTTAGTCAATCCGAAATAAAGTTGTGGTGAGGTTTTTAAAATTTTCATGAAAAATGTGCTAAAAAGAGGGGTCCAAAGGTAGGGTAAACGGCCTCATTTCTAAGCAAGGTTTTTTTCGACCTTATCTAAATCAGCCAAATAACTTTCCTACACATATATTCTATATGTGCAGACTATGTGCGCTGGTTTTTCCATTTTTTTGATTTTTTTTAAATTTGTTTTGCTCATTTGAATTCTGGTCAAACTTAACTTTGACCAAGATTTAAACAAGTGTAAAACATCAAAATGAAAAACTAAGCCTGGATCCTTCTTAGTCACTCCAAAATGAAGCTGTGGTGAGTTTTTTGAAATTTTCATGTTCATTTCCCCAAAACACTTCTCTTCACTTCATACAAGAGAGTTTGAGATACTCGAGATATCATACAATACACATGAACTTATCATTTAAATGTATGTAAAGCTTGTTTATCAACTTAAATCGTTAGTATATGACATAAGAAGACTATGTGCGCAAGTTTTTCATTTTTCTGTTTTTTATTTAATTTATTATGCTCATTTGAAATCTGGTCAAACATAGCTTTGACCGCTCCAAACCCCTCCCAAACCCCGCTAAACCTAGCGCTGAATAAGGACCGTTCATCTAACCCTAGC